TTCTTGAGATAAGAATGAGATGAAAGTGATTACTCAAGTAACTTTTATATTCACTTTGTAAAAGATAATATTTTTTGATAACACTTTTTAATATTACTTTTTAATAATACTTTTTAATAATACTACTGTTAATTTTGAATAGATTGACTAATAATTTAAATATTATAGATTTAAAATATTGCTAATATAATTTATATCTCTTCTAAATAATAACAATAATTTCATGATATTCAATAAATAAATAAATCAGTCATATCACTGAATATGATACAGAATGTTAGAATACAGTGAAGTTTAATATATAAGATAACTGTTTAAGCTCTTTAATTATATCAGATAATTAATTATTGAATGCAATACTTTAATCAGAAAAAGATTCAGATATTAAAACTTTCTGATATGAAGTGAACTTAGTTGAAATATATGATTGATTTACTATTTCAGTTTTATAAGATAATAAAGACAGTCTCAATCACTTATACATCAATACTGCAGTCAGTCTGATGAGTGTATAACAGTTTATTTACTCATCTTAAGAAGCAGTTGAATCACTTAAAAAGAAATTCAGTCTGAAATAATATTATAGTGCAGACTATTATTACTGTAAGAAATAAACTGATATATTACTACAGTAAAACTGAACAATCTTTTACAGAGTACTATACTGTAGCAGCTCTACTAGATCTCTTCTATTAAGTTAATATCTACACTTCTCAAGATTGAACAGAGAAGAAATAAGACTCATATATTAAATTAGTCTGAGACTACTATAATACTAACTATCAGAGATTTGAATAAACAGATATTTAAGATATGAAGACAGTGAAATACAATTCTCTAGTAAGTAACAATCTTTGATAATACTTTATATTTCATAGAACTATAATACTAACTTTGAAACAGAACTTATATACATTGATTACAACTGAAAATCAGATAAAACTATATACTTATAAAACTGAATTTGACTGTTATCTTTAGACTGACCGTGTGACCGTGTCTGAGACCAGGACCAGATTTTTTGATAGTCTCATTATCAATTCAACTGATCTCATTACACGGTTTCAACATTAGATAGTAGTTTCATACTGTCTCAGTGAGACTTACTGTCTACTCTTGTCACATTTTTCAAATGAGATCATGATTTTCACTTCTCAATTTAAATTATTTTTATTGCTTTAAATGACTTTAAATCTCATTTAAGCATTACCAAAAAGTGTTACTTTTTAAAAAATTAAAAATAGTCTAAAAAAAACCTTAAAATGTCTAAAAATAGTAACTTTATGCCAAGAATGAGACTAAATGGAATCAAATGAGACCACTTTCTCATTTTTTTCAAGTCATGATTCCATTTTAAAATCTGATATATAGTCACTTTGCATATTTTTTTAATAGCCAGTCCCAGCGGGATTCACGCCAAGAAATGTATGAGACCAGATCAAATGAAATCAAATGTGAAATTCATGGTCCCAGCAGCCAGTCTAGTTATCTTCAAGATAATCTGACAAATTTACACATTAAATTAATTCTAAAGTTATGAAAAATTATTAAGAGTATATATTTAACTATTACACTGATAATGTGTGATATTCTAATAATTCTATTAATAGAGATAAGAATAAAGTGAAAGTTTAACTTAAATTAAGATATTTATCACTATTACTGAGAACAATTATAAGAAGAAATAATCAAGAAACTCATGATTATAAAACATGAAATTATCAGATAGTTTAATATCTCTGATCACAGTATATCAGAGAAGTGTAGTTTTCATGAGAAAGTAAAGAATAAACTTATATAAGAATGTATTTAGTTATTTCATGAGTATTATTAATAATTATTATTAAATTCTGATTATATAAGTAATTACTGAATGAACTGAATGAGACTGATTTTAATCTTCAGTCTCAGTTTTATTCTGATTTTGAAAGAATAATCATCTTTCACAGTTTATTCTGAGAAATTACTTTCATTTCACTATTCTTGAATTAAATCTGGTCATTTTTCACATCATTTCTCTCAGAAATGGTCTATTTTCAGATTTTTTTGAGGCTTGGTTCTGATGAGACTCACATCAAGAAATGTATGAGACCAGATCAAATGAAACTAAATGTGAAATTCATGGTCCCGCTGGCCAGTCTAATCACAACAAGATAATTCTATAGAATCTCAACTTACAGTGGATTCTACACCTTCTAATGAGTATATAGATAATCTTTATGTTATAGATAGATGTGATGGTGATTATTAATTAATTTTTGAAGATTACTATATTCAAAATATTTTCTTTATAGTGTGGTTTTCTGTACACTGTGGCGCACTCACTACAGAGAGTGAGTAAGCATGGCACAGTTACTGAGTAGTGTTATGATGATGTTAGAAAGTTCTGCATCATCTCAACATCATCTTGATATTTAATATTCAGTGATATGTTACTGAATATAATGATGGAACATGTGTTACAATCAGTGACACGTGACACGGGTGGAATGGTGGATCCACGGTGTAATCACCATAAATTAACCCTACGTTCTTCCGGTAAGGAGTAATCACCAACATTAACCTGTGTCACATGACGTCACGTTCTGGGCCTGCAACCTTCACTCTTCAACAAAACCCTCACTTCTTATTCCAGTTCTTCTTCTTCTCTTTGTCTTTCTTTTTCTTCTTCTTCTCTCTGTGTTTCTTCTTCTTCTTTGCAAGTTGTCTTGGTTCTCCCCTTCCGCCTAACCTCCTCACAGGCCACCCCGTGCACGATAGACAAAAGCGGCACCTCCATCTCCAAATCCAACCCATATTATTTCTACTTACTTCGTCCTCAGTCTGCGAACCCAATTGACAGCCTTGTGGAAAGTCATTTCCGGCCTAAGTCTGGTCTTTCATAACGCAGGACATTTGTAGCCATGTCTCTTTGTATAAATCGACTAACAGAGGAACGGTCAGTCCGGCGTAGTCCATGACTACCATTTTTATATTGTAAGGGTCTTTTGTAAGATTCTCTCTTACTGACGAATATGTCCCTGCTTCTTTTGCGCTTCAGGAAACAATGGAGAAAAAACCATCCCTACGGTTTCTATGCGAAGCCACGTAGAAATGCGGCCGGTGCGCAGGACATGAAGTACTGGGAGTGTGGTATTCCCGGTAAAGAGAAGACCATATGGGCGGGGGGCTTGTTTAAGTTGGAAGTTATCTTTCCAGAAGGTAATGTGTTCCATCAGCATCGCTCGCTTGCCTTTTATATTTCTGCATGAAATCAAATATAAAGAAAGCGATTTCTAACTGCTGTTGGTTATACACCCTACAGAGTATCCTACGAAACCCCCAAAGTGTATGTCCTTCTTTCAACAATATAACTTCTCGTCTTGCTGAGTGATGATAAATGGGATTTTTTTTTTTTTTTTTTTTTTTTTTTTTGGGAACTAACTCGGCCACAGGCAAATTCGTTCCACCACTCTTCCACCCAAACGTCTACCCCTCCGGCACCGTCTGCCTGTCCATCCTAAACGAAGAGGAAGGCTGGAGACCAGCGATCACCATCCCACAGATCCTTCTCGGGATCCAGGATCTTCTAGACGACCCTAACCCTGAGTCGCCCGCCCAGGCTGAAGCATATACCCTATTCAAGAAGGACCGCGCTGCGTACGAGAAGAAAGTGAGACAAGTTGTCAGGGAGAATCCGGGTTTGTAGCATTGTAAATCGGCTGCAACGATCTCCCGACGGTAGTGCCTGGGGTGTTGGGTGAAGTGTGCTTTTCTTAGTTTATAGCAGGGCGTCTTGGTTGTTATTTATTTTGCGTTGCCGCTCTCCGTGTGTGTTGAGCTTTTTTTGTCTTCTTCCATGATTTATTGTTTTGAAATCCACCCCACAATGCGCTTCTCTCTGCATTTCTCCTATTTCCTTCTCTTTTGTTACGTTCGCTGGATTAGCTACTCCAGATTTCACGAGAAAGCATTCGACGTAGTAATAAGTTCTGTTCTCTTGGGTAGCCTTTTGGAGGAAAATCAAAGATATCCTAGCCTTACAAAGGTGAACTGGTGAGGTATAGAGTACGTGCTTCAAGTACTTCATATTTTACACCAAGTAGTCTGACTACACACAACGAGCGCGCGTTGTAGCTAACTAACCATTTCATTTTACTACTCTTTAAAACTTGCCTGTACATTCTTCTTTAGAATGCGAGGCCGAAAATCGGCGCTTACAGCTGCTAATGGTTGAGCTTTGACGGTGGGTAGGTAGGGATAATTGAGTTGGCAAGCCGTAGACTGCATTTGCGACATGGGTTAATCCCAGGGGCAACATGGGCTGAGATTGCAAGGGTAAAGATAAGAAATATATTGATTTTGGATTTTTTGGAAGAGAGCAGAACAACTGGCGTCGTGCCTGAAGGAGAGAGAGGCAAAAAAGCGGGAAAAAAAGCATATCTTATCAGCTAGTTAGGAGAACGAAACCTAAAAGCGAACTTCCCTAGCCCCGCCATATGACTCAAACGTTTTAGGGGGGCAAAATACGGCAGTCTATAAGTGACAAATGTGACAAATGGGTATTTTATACTAGTGTTACAATGAGCACACATTAATGATACTGATTGTATTAGCAATCAAGGTCTCCTCATTGGAGGTTGTATGAAATAATGACCCACATCAGTGGAGGGCTCTTGACCTAAGACAGTACTCAGAGTCTTCAGAGGAATCTATATCCAGTGGTCTCTATGCTCAGGGGTCTCTATACCCGGGGGCTCTATACACAGGGGTCCTCTACCCAGAGGGTCTCTCTATACCCGCTCTATACACAAGGGTAACTCTATATCTATATCCCTGAGGGCTTTCATTGGGTGGGAGGTTACAGGGTAAGAGATCTGTGGGGTGGAGCTCAGTCTGAACGCCAAGTCTGACTAAACCATATGCAGGAATATACTAACTACATTAAGACTAGTGTAATTGGTGCATGACTATAAAATCAGTATTATGTGGAATTAAGCCTTTACGCTGAAAAAACAGCCATTTGACACTTTTGTCACCATAGACTGCCGTACAAAAGGCTAAATCAGAAAAAAAAAAAAAAAAAAAGAGAAACACAAAAGAAAAAAGAAAAAAGAAGCAAAAAGAGGGAGGAGGGCGGCCACGTTGAACAACCCCGCCTCCGACTTCGCGTGCTATGTGACTCCCGTGCTTCTTTTCTGTCCATCACCCCGCGCAAAAAATAAAATAAAATAAAATCTCTCTGCTCTCTGTTCTCTTGTTTTCCTCTTTTACTTAATACCATCCGGCCAATTCATTCTCTCTTTCTTCGCCTTAAAAAAAATTTCCTCAGGCCCGTGAATTTCGCTCTCTTCTTTGAGTGTCGTAACCTTTCTCCATCCCCTCTCCGGTACAGAAGAAGCAGCACGACGGACCAGTCAAGTCATGTGTGGGATTTTTGCTTGTCACTGGTATGTACACTACAGCCCGACCATTTGCCGCTCAGTGAAAAGGGATTTATGAAAGCACATATCCCTCCATTTGAGGAATCTCTACAATCAAAGTGCTGGAAAATGAAAAATAAGAAAAGGATAGCTTCATACTGATGTGATCTTCTACAAATGCAGTCACCCAGATGTGCAAAAGTTCAAGCCTACGGCTTTGCGCATGGCGAAAGCGTGAGTGGTTTCAACCTCCCCCTGCCACCACAACCTCCTGGCTTAGTGGTTCTTTAGTTTGGATATTTCAGTATAAAGAGGAAATGGACCGTGTTGCTAAAAATTCTGCTTGTTATTTGAAATCTACAGCGTACGCCATCGTGGTCCCGATTGGAGTGAGTCACCCCACGCACACATCCATCCCGTGTTCAGTGTTCTCACAGTGGCGGAGGAAGGGACGAGGAGGAGGAGGAAAGACCCTAGTATCTATTATCAACTTTTACTGCTGTGCATGGTGACTGACATATATCTACCCTTCTGTACTATAGGTGGAAACTTCGTTGCAAACAACACAAGTCAGTATTCCGCGCACAGACAGGGACAAGCTCCCGTTCCACCGACCATAGCGAGTTTGGCTGACCTGGCATCCTATCTTACTCTCTAGTCCTTGCGCATGAGCGGTTGAGCATTGTTGGCGTTGATTCTGGCGCCCAGCCTCTGGTTAACGACGATGGCACCCTTGCCCTCGCCGTCAATGGCGAAATTTATAACCACAGAATCCTACGAAAGGGTCTGAAAACTCCATACAAATTCAAGACACATTCAGATTGCGAAGTTATTATCCCACTGGTGAGTCCTAATTCCTGCAATCCCCCTCTCCTTTTTCAACTGATGTTGCGGGTTTGCGCTAACTTCCTTTTACCACCGATGTTAGTACATGGAACATGGCATCGACGCCCCTAAATTCCTCGACGGCATGTTCTCGTGGGTCCTACTTGACAAGAAGGAAGACAGAGTCGTCGCTGCGCGAGACCCCATTGGCATCACTAGTTTCTACCAGGGCTGGTCATCGCAAACTCCCGGTGCGGTGTATTTCGCCTCAGAGCTGAAGAGCTTACACCCCGTATGCGACAAGATTATTAGTTTTCCTCCAGGCCATGTATACGATTCCAAGAGCAACACTATGACCAGATATTTCGACCCCAAATGGTGGGACCCCACCAACGTCCCGTCTACTCCCGTTGACTACAAACTTATCCGTGAGGCTCTGGAAAAGTCGGTGCGGAAACGATTGATGGCGGAGGTTCCATATGGTGTCCTCCTTTCTGGAGGGTTGGATTCGAGTTTAGTGGCCTCCATCGCGCAGCGGGAGACGCTACGACAACAAGCTCTGTCTAGCGCCGCAGCGACTAACGGGGTTAACGGAGCGTCTTCAAGCTCGGGACTGGTCGGCATTGACGATTCCAACGAGTTATGCACCGTGACTACCCTGCCACAGCTCCATTCATTCTCTATCGGCCTTCCCGACGCCCCGGACACCAAGGCCGCTCTCGAAGTGGCCAAATTCCTCGGAACAAAGCATCATGCTTTCACGTTTACTCTTGAAGATGGCCTCAACGCCCTCTCTGACGTCATCTACCACTTGGAGACCTACGATGTCACCACCATCCGCGCATCTACACCTATGTACCTGCTGAGCAGAAAGATCAAAGGCATGGGCGTCAAGATGGTGCTTAGCGGTGAGGGCAGTGACGAGATCTTCGGAGGCTACCTCTACTTCCACGCCGCCCCGAGCAAGGAAGCCTTCCACGACGAGACCGTGTCCCGAGTGAAAAACCTCCATCTCGCTGATTGCCTGCGGGCCAACAAGTCCACGTCGGCATGGGGCGTGGAGGCGCGCGTGCCGTTCTTGGACAAGCAGTTCCTCGAGGTATCCATGGGCGTCGACCCGCAGGAGAAGATGATCACTAAGGACCGGATCGAGAAGTATATCCTGCGCAAGGCGTTTGATACCTCCGACGACCCGGATGCACAACCATACCTCCCCGATAGCATTCTGTGGCGCCAGAAGGAGCAGTTTAGCGACGGTGTCGGGTATGGCTGGATTGATGCGTTGAAGGATAATGCGGAGTTGCATGTTACGGATGAGATGATGAAGAACCCCAAACCGGAGTGGGCTGATGATGTTCCAGATACGAAGGAAGGGTATGTTCAACAACCTTATTACCTAGCCAGGCAAATTGCATCATGGCGTATTGGTGGGAATGGAAATAATTTTTTTTCGAATATGCTAACTGGGAGTGCCTGACTTCTAGATACTGGTATCGTATGATGTTCGACGAGCTTTTCCCGCCATGCTGCGCATCGACAGTGATGCGGTGGAAACCAAAATGGTCCAAGCAGACGGACCCTAGTGGACGGTACGTAAAATCTCATTTGTTCTTTTCCCCTCTGCCCCCTTTAACTTTTCTATACATATGTGCTAATAATCGTCCCGTCTGCAGTGCGATTTCCACCCATATTGCCAAGTATGAGAGCGGATCATAAAATGCTACCCGGCAGAACCACGGAGCCTATGTTTTTGGATAGAGGATAGGTAGATGATGCACCTGGTCTACCAAGTTATGATAGGCAGAGAACATTTATGCAACATGGCATACATAGTTACTCTCGTGGAACAACCCGTGTTATCTTTTCGGTTCTTTTTATGTGGTTGTTTTTCTGGCCGCCGTTTCTGCTTCTCCTTCTGCCTAGCCCTCTCTACGCCTTATATAAATACCTTTTCCCCCTTTCCCTTTTCCTTGTCTTCCTTCCAATGGTTTTTGGTTTCGGCTTGGCATGGATTACTGTTTACATGTTGTTTTGGTACTACGCTTCCTTTTCGCATAGATCATTGGGGGTACCATTTCGTTTTCATCAATGCATATACATATGTCATTTCTTTTGTGGTTATTAAATAGATAACTCTAGAAGAAAGCGTTTTGATTTTTTTCAAGTCACCAATGCTCACGTACTAAACTTACCAACCTTGAGTCTAACTACTTCTCCCATCCGTACCTGACAAGTCGTCCAACCAATCAGCAGCCGCGGTCAACCATGGTCCTGAATTTCCCGACACTGCGCCGGATAAACACTGCTCCGGCGCTTTGTCTGTTCCGTTGCCAAACTTTGCCAGAAACAGAAGCTGATTTATCCCCAACCACTGACTGACCCTCGCTCAATCACACCTTCAACACCTTCTGGATACATATCTCAAGTTGTCTTTGCTTGCATCTTCTGCTTCTTTTTATATCTGTGCCTGATACCTCTTCTTTCTCCTCCTCTCTCTAGCCCACCATGCCTGCCCCAGCTGCTTTCAGTGACATTGCCAAGGCCGCAAATGATGTATGCAAAAACAAACAACATCACTCCTCACACCCACCCACCACCCCTTTTAAAAGTTTGACCACCAAACCAGCGTCGCAATTCCTCACTAACCATTGAGATTATTTATATATAGCTCCTGAACAAGGATTTCTACCACGCCAGCGCCGGTACTGTTACCCGTTTCCTGTTCTTCAATGATGTCTTAGAATCCCGTGCTGACAGATGTCTTGACCTTCTCCCTAGCCAACATTGAGGTCAAATCCAAGGCCCCCAATGGCGTTACATTCAACGTCAAGGGAAAATCCGCCCACGAGGGTCCCATCAATGGCTCCGTAAGTTCGATGCCATGTCTTTAGCGAACCGATTTTCTCATGTTTGGGAGTCGTTGGAGGTCTCATATATTTGGGGGGTACTGATACTTCGGTTCAACGGCAGCTTGAAGCCAAATACGTTGATGCGCCAACTGGTAAAGCTCTCCTCCTCCCTGATACCCGGCGAAAGCCATTGTCCCCCTTTAAGGAAGGGCCGAAACCTCTCCGGAATATGAAGATTAATTTGGCTTTTATGCGCTATCACCCTTCCAATCTCCTCAATTTCGTTATTTCCCTTTCTGGACTCGCGGATCATTCATCAATAAGGCTAATGTTTCACCCATGTTCAGGCCTCACCCTGACCCAGACATGGACTACCTCCAACTCCCTCGACACCAAGCTCGAGCTGGACAACAACATCGCCAAGGGCCTCAAGGCTGAGATTCTTACCCAGTATCTGCCCAGCTCCCAATCCAAGGGCGCAAAGTTGAACCTCCATTTCAAGCAGCCCAACATCCACGCCCGCGCCTTCTTCGATCTCCTCAAGGGCCCCACTGCCAACTTCGACGCTGTCCTTGGCCATGAAGGCTTCCTCGTCGGTGCTGAGGGTGGTTATGATGTGCAGAAGGCTGCTATCACCAAGTACTCTGCTGCCGTCGCCTACAGTCTCCCCGAATACTCTGCTGCCATCACTGCCTCCAACAACCTTTCCCTCTTCTCCGCCAGCTACTACCATCGCGTCAACGCGCAGGTCGAGGCTGGTGCCAAGGCCACATGGGATTCCAAGGTCGGCAACACTGTTGGCTTGGAAGTTGCCAGCAAGTACAGACTTGACCCCTCTTCCTTCGCCAAGGTGAGTGAGCTTTTGCTTTTCTTTCCCCGCTTAATTTTCCACGCATGTTCTACAAATATTTGCTAGCCTTTTTGTCTGTGCAAGTTCCCGCTAATCAATCTCAATTTCTTTTGATATAGGCCAAGATTAATGACCGCGGTATCGCTGCATTGGCTTACAACGTTCTCCTCCGCCCTGGTGTGACCCTCGGTCTTGGTGCCTCCTTCGACACCCAGAAGTTGAACCAGGCCGCGCACAAGGTCGGAGCCAGCTTCACGTTTGAAGGATAGAGAAATAGCAAGTGATAAAATAACGAAAGAGACAAAGTGATAAATGTGAACTAAAGAAATAAAGCAAGAGAGAAAATCCTGAAACTACTGTTTTTGTATTCTATACATACGCGCACACACATCAGAAACCCAAGAAAAATTTGCAGCAATACCGATTTTTATTTTTATTTTTCCTTCTCATTTCATTCTTCTTTCTAAAGGTTTTTTTTTAATGTATTCCATTGTCTTCCACTTTCTCCTGCCTCCCTTTTTGGGTTGCGGATCTCCAAATTGATACTTCCCTTCCCTTCCTTTTTTTTAATCTTTTACTTCGCTATACGTATATTTAGAGTATTACTGTGCAATTAATAGAGTAGATTTCACAGTTCACAAAGCCAGCTCTAACAGTGACAGATTTGAAGGTCTCCTGACAAACACTGTGCAGATTGACAAGGAATTGCCTTCCATCATATTGTTTATATCTGTAGCAGACAGCCTCATTAATACCTTTTGTAAGAGTGGTGGTAATTGCGGAAGTTGTGGCTAACATGGGTGCTCATGATTAGACTGACCGTGTGACCGTGTCTGGGACCAGGACCAAACTTTACAGTTGTCACATTGCCTAAAAGCATTACTCCTGATCATGATTTATGTTCATCACATTAATCTCAAATCATGTTATTTCAAATATTAAAGATCTCAGATTCACTTTTCAAATAAAAATCTAGTCTTAGATAAAGAATATGTTTGAATTCTTAGTTATATTTTCATTCTGATCACATTATTGAGAATAGTATTAAATGAGATTATAAAATCACTTCTCACTTACATAATATCATAACATAGTGCTCATTTGTTAAAAATTCAATAGAGAGTGTTATCAAATATTATTACTTTTTTAAATACAGATTATAATTCATATAATTTTAATTATAAAAAAAATATAAAATACAAAAAAAAAATAAAAATAAAAAACAAAAAATAAAATAAAAATAAGAAAAAATCAGAATAAATAAAAAAATAAAAAAAGAGAAAGAAAAATAAAATAAAATAAAAATAAAAAAATAAAAAATAAAAATAAAAAAAATCAAGATTACAGAGCTATAGTATCTCTAAAATACTCACTTCTCAGAGTCTTTACAATGTTTATTATTAACTATGTATTTCTTATAGTAAGAGTAACACAGCTGTAATAAGTTATTATCTTAATATTATTTAATAAATAATTAGTATATATCTATATAAATATGAATATTTAGAAAATATATACTTAAAAAGTGTGATCAGAGTGAACTCTGCTATCACTTGAATAATATTAAGAGTAAAATACTGAAATTAATAATTCTTCTCATTAATTTCACAGATAAGATAGATAAAGATGATTTTAAAGAATATAAAATTCTTTAACTTCTGATAAAAATGAATCTCACAGAGAGACTCTATTTTCATAATATCAGAAACTGAGTGTTATTAAAAAGTGTTACTTTTATATAATATATATATATTTACTGCAATAATTCATTCTCTGTGTATATAACTAAGAGTTATAGCTTTCTCATATCACACAGCTCTCTCTAAGATGCTGATACTGATTTGTAACTTATACAGTCTCTCAGTTCAGTATACACTGTGTGTATACAGCTCTGTATACTATGATCATATTGATTATTATAGTCTGATATGATACTTACTTTTCATAAGTTATATTTCATTTAAGAGAGAGAGAAGAAAAGACATGACTGTGATTTTATTAAAAAGAAATAAATAATTAATAATATTAAATATAATTTAATTCTTCTGTATTTAAAATTTGATTAGTCTATACTCTTTAATTTAAGAGTCTCTAAAAGTGTTTTAATAGTTTTCATATCAGCTTGAACTTAGTAATGAATTGAAGAAGAAGAGAAAAGAGAGAAGAAAGAAATAAGAATAACTTATCTTTATAATATAAAAACAGAGAATTACTGTAATCATTCTTTCTAGTAATAAAGATCTGTTTTCTGTATATATCTCTGATATAGAGTATATAATAACTGTATATAAAGAATATCAACACTGCATGTATTAAATGAAGATGATATTACTATATAATACTGTAGCTGTTTTTATATATTTCTGAAAGCTGTTAATATTTTCTTTATCTCTTTATATTTAATAAGTTAGTAATATATTTCAATGCACTCTCTCTTTCATTATTATTATTATTATCATTATCATTATTATCATTATTATTATTATTATTATTATTATTAACATCATTACTATTATTATTATTATTATTATCATTATTATTAGTATCATTATTATTATTATTATATTATTTCTGACTATCTCTTCTATCTTTATCTCTCTTCAACACTCACTGAAATTCATTATATTATCTTTCTTTAAACATTCTGTAGTTCTGCGGATCATCAAGGCATGTGAGCACTGTCACAGATTGAAGAAAGAGAAGAAGAAGGTATTTAAGTGAGAGAAGACAGATTATAATACATATTATAATACCTTGAAGAGACTTTGTAAGAAAGTAAAATAATAACAATTTTAAGTAACACTTCTGATAGATTTAGACTGAACTAAGTATAGAAATAATACAGATGATACTGTCTATAAAAGATTAAAGAAAAAGACAGTAAAGAGTCTTATATAGTAGTAATAAGATCAGAAGAAGTTCTGAGAATAATTTAAGTTCAAGATAAAGAGAGAAAGAGAGAAGAAGAGTATTACTGTAAATAAGCAGTGATAGAAGAAGATTAAGAAGATATTAAAGTAGAAGATAAAGAAGTTAAAACTGATAAGTTTTTTATTTATTAAAAGATAATGATTTTTAATAATACTTCTGTACTATAATTGATTAGCAGAAGCTGATAGAGAAGAAGAGAATTGAGATCTTATTCAGGTCTTGAATATGCTTTATGATTCAGAATATTAAGAAGATAGCTCTACTCTCTGAGTATATCAATCTGCTTACTACTGAGATGAAATCTGAGACAGTAGACTAGAAAATGTGAGATTTTGAGATACAGATTGATCTCACTGAAGAAAAGCAGTGAAAACTCTTCTCTGAGAAGACAGTGAAGAGAGATTTTGAGATGATTATCATCTCAGATGAGAAGAAGAAGAAGAAGAAGAAGAAGAAGAAGAATAAGAAGTGAATTATAAAGAATAATAAGAAGAATAAGAAAGAGAAGAAGTAGATTTTTTTCTTTTTATATTAGTTAGTTATAAGTTTAAGTTTTTAATTATTAATAATTAAAATTAATTTTGAGTTTTCA